TTCTCACCGGACCAGGCTCTCACGTCACCAAGCGCGAAGCACAGTGAGGTATTCGGCGAGTCGCATGAAGGGTGCGCTGCATCCTGCTTAGAGTGTTCGGCATCTTGTGCTTACTTCCTTGCATACGGATGACAGCTGCGTATGACTTGATTTATTTTCTAGTGCTATCACTTCCAGAGACAGTTGCAAGCACTGTGTAACCGCCTCGAGGGTGCTTGACCATTTTAACACAACGTGGTGCGATCATCCCCCTTGCGCGGAGTGAGGGTTCTCGACCCCGCACAATATGATCTACTCGACAACCATTCATGGTTTCCGCACAAAAAAAAACGGATGTGAATAAACAAACAATATCCTGGTTGCTGAATTCACGAAGTGACGTGGCTTGTTTTACAACGTCGTTGCCAAGCGACGAAAACCCAACCCCGATGGCAAACACCGGGGGGGGGCGTGGCTTGTTTTACAACGTCGTTGCCAAGCGACGAAAACCCAACCCCGACGGCAAACCGTGGAAAAGGTTACTCACTGCCTTGCATGCCGTAGTGGTTAGACCAGTGACCTCGCATCCGTTCAATGCCGGAGCCCCTGTCCGTAAAATGGCGTCTTGCCTCCCCTCCCCGCTCCCTCCCAAACAAACACACGCGAACACAGCCTCGCAGAGTGGGCCCTCCAAATGCTGGCGCTTCTGCTGAGGCACGGCAGGCCCTACGATGAACTCCTCAAGCAGAGAGGCGTCGACTTGGCCGCCTCGGGAGCCGCGCCGGTCTACGGATCAGTGCCCAGACCGGTAGAGTTTTCCGCGGAGAGGGCGAGAGGGTACAACTGCTTCCGGAGGTGCGTGGTGTGTAGCGTACCGACAGTAGCTCCCCCCCCCCCCNNGTAGCGTACCGACAGTAGCCCCCCCCCCCCCCTGCCCTCCCAGCAGCGGGTCCACGCCCTCACGCGTGGGTCGGGACGATGGTATTATTCAGTATCAAGGGGAGGGGCGGGCGTTTCTCGTCGGTGTGTAGAGGTGGCTGGAGAGAACGGACGAGGAAAGCTACCCCCTGGTCCATCCTTAGGTCTGGGCTGGCCAAAAACCGGCATGCCGCTCCGTCCCGAAGGCGAGGTCAATGGCCAAATGACGACATCATGCGGTTGCACGAGTAACCCCCTCACCGAGCGCGCCCGTCTACATGCACCCACCCCCCGTGTACCGCTTGTGCTGTCGGATCCTTCTCGCCTGGAGGAACACCGAGTACCGCTCCTGGAACCCACCTGTTTTGTGTTCCTGTTTCCGTCCACTCCGATCAGTGCGTGTCCATTTTTCGCTTGGTCGCTAAACACACACACACACACACACACACACACATCTATCCGAAATTTGCGTTTGGCTGCGGCCGGGTTTTGAACAGGTGCGTGTTTGTCGTCCACTCCGACGACGATCTAGGAGCGATCGCGCTTGGCCTCCTCCGGCACGTGGACGACGCCAGGCTTAGAAGGACGAGGTGGGTCTGGAGCTCAGGGGGTGGGGGGGGGGGG